GCTATGCAAGGCCAGCATTTGCTGCCCATCACTAACTGCCCTTGAACTGAGTGAGTGACTTGTTCAGCCATTTCAGTGGGAAAAGCCAACCACATTGCTGGGGGTTTGGAGTCACATGTAGGTGAGTCTGAGCAAGAGAGGTGGATTTCCTTCCCTAAAGGACATTAGTCAACTAGATAGGTCTTAGAACAGCTGATGAATTGCATGGACCCATTACTGAAACCAGCTTTATATTCCAGATTTATTAGAAATGCCATGTCGCTAGAACATTTAGTCTGTATCTTTGAAAGACTAGTCCAGAACTTAAACATTGCTCAAAGGAGACAAGAAGTTGAAGCTTTTCAAATCATAACTAGAAGGCATGAAGCAAACAGTAATAAAAAGCACTCTATTTTATACACCTGGAGGAAAGTGCTGATTGACTGGGCCATGATTGGCATAGAGATGTAGCAATAGCAGTTAATTGTCAACCTTAATTCTCAAACCAGACAAGTAGATTCCGATTAGGTGTTGCCATGGGGATCGAGCAAGAATTGTTTGTCTCCATGACCCCATGTATTGAAAAAGGTACAATGCATGTACAAATTCCTTTAACCTACATAAAACAAGGTCCTGAGTATTCACATATGCAGCTTCTAGCACAGCAGGTGACTGGTTTCCAATTAAATTATTAGCTAAGATGGAGTGAGTTGGTTAGCTCAGTTGGCTGGACTTTGATGCAGAATGATGCCAACAGCAGGAGTTCAATTCCCACACTGGCTGAGGTTACTGTGAAGGTCCTGCCTTCTCAACCTCTCCCCTCACCTGAGGCGCTGTGTCCCTCAGGTTAAACCACCATCAGTCATCTCTCTCTAATGAGAGAGCAGCTCTATGGTCCTTTGGAACTATGCCGTCTTTACCTTTACATTGGAAACAAAAGTGCTTGCAGCTGCTAGGATTTCCTAGCCTTGTTCCAGTGAATTACCAACCACAGCCCTGCTCCAAAGACAAGAGTAAAGGTACAGTCCAAGAAGGAAGTAAGAACAATGAAAAATGCCTCCACTGGAATGTACATATCTGCCTCCAGTGAATATCCTATTGGGTAGGAATGTATATCAGGAGTCTATTCTGCCCTTCAAGTCCATTCCACTGTTAAATCAGATCAAGGCTGGTATGTAATCTAATTTCATAAAAGGGCAGTGCAGGAAAATGGAACTCATTAGATTATGTATAATATTTTGAATGGTTTCAACAAGACGGCGGATGTTTCCTCCTGTGGACTGCAGAATGAGGGAGCACTGTTTTAGAATTAATGGTCACCCTTTTAGGGCAGAGATGAGGAGCAAATTTTGTCTGAGAGAGTTGTTTGACTTTGGAACCGTGCTTTAGAAAGCAGTGAAGGCTGGGTCATTGAATATGTTTTCAGGCAGAGGTAGGTAAGATTCTTGTTAGGAAGGGAATCAAAATTTACCAGGGGTAGAGGGGGAATATGGACTTTGAAACACAAACAAATCACCCATGCTCTGATTGAATGGCACAGCAGGTCTGAGGGGCCGAATGGTCTACTTTTGCTCATATTTCATATGTTTGTGTAGTTCTGTCAAAAAGCAAACACAACCATGACAGGCCAAATGACATTCTGACCTGTATGAATCTGTATTCATAGTAACGCAACAACATCCTTGTATTTATAAAGCTCCTTAGTCCCATTTCCTTTTGTGTCTTAAGTTAACAAAATCTATGTTGCTAATTATCACTGCTGCTGTGGAAGAGACCTCCAACCTTCCATCACTGTTTTTGTGTATAAGTGCTTCCAAATCTCACTCCTGGAAGGTCTGTCCCTATATGTTAAACCATGCTCCCAGTACTAGACTCTGCAACCAGAGGAAATAGTTTCTCTCTATCTACCAGAGTTGACACAGCAGAAAAAAAGATTAGAGGGACTTGTGAAAATGAGGAAACTGAAAGTAATTCATATTAATGAAAAGTCAGTACTCAATAAATTAACTGGATTGAAGTTTGACAAATTCCCTGGACCAGACGAGCAGTATCTAAGAGTGTGGCTACAGAGATACTGGATACATTGATAGTTATCTTTCAAACTTCTATAGATTCAAGGAAGGTGCCAGCAAACTGGAATGTAACAAATGAAACTCCATTATTTAAGAAAGGAAGTGGATATGAAATGGAGAAGCATAAACCTGTTAGTTTAACGTCAATCGTAGGGAGAAAGTTAGAATCTTTTCTAAAAAAAAATGATAACTTGACACTTGGAAAATAATGATATGATTGGTCAGAGTCAACATGGATTTATAAAAGGGAAATCATGTTTGACAAACCTGTTGGAATTCTGAGGCTGTTACTTGTAACAGAGATAAATGAAAAGCAACAATCATGACGCATTTGGATTTTCAGAAGGTTTCTGATAAGGTCCCTCTTGAGGACATTAGTAAACAAAATTATAGGATTTGGGATTGGAATTAATATACTGTGCTGGATTCAGAATTGGTTGATAAATCTGAAAACAGACAGTAGGAATTAACTGGTCAGTCTCAGCACGGCTGGCTAATGTCAATGGAGGATGGCAAGGATCAGATCTGCGGTCACTGCTGCTTATAGTGTATATAAATGATATGTAAATGGGGACCAAATGTAATATTTCTAAATTTGCTGATGATACAAAACTAGATGGGAATGTAAAAACCAAAAGAACTGCAGATTCTGTCAATCAGAAACAAAACAGAAATTGCTGGTAAAGCTCAGCAAGTCTGGCAGCATTGTGAGGGAAATCAGAGTTAATGTTTCAGGTCGAGTGACCCTTCCTCAGAACTCGGAATGTAACTTGAGAGGAGGATGCAGGGAGGCTTCATGAGACTTGGACAGGCTAAGCGAATGGGCAGACAGAATACATGTCAAGTGAATAAATGTCAAGTCACTTTGGACGACAAGAGGAAGACAGAATATTTTGTGAACAGTGAGAGTTTGGGATGTGTTGATTCCCAAATGAATCTGACTGTCCTTTCTTGTGTCACACAAAGCTAGCATGCAGATGCAGCAAGCATTTAGGAAGGTAAATAATCCGTAAGCCTTCACTGCAAGGGAATTTGACTACAACAGTCAAGAAGTCTTGCTTCAACTGTATAGAACCTCGATGAGATCACACCTGGACCATTGCTCTCCTTATCTAAGGAATGACATTCACCTTCCAAACGCATAACCACTACCATCTAGAAAGACAGCAGATACATAGGAACACCACCCCTTGCAAGTTCCACTCCAAGCCACTCACCATCCTGACTCGGAAATATATTGCTGTTCATCCACTATCACTGGGTCAAAATCCTGGAATCCCCTCCCTAACGGCATTGTAGGTCAACTTATAGCATGTGGACTGCAGCAGTTCAGGGAGGCAGCTCACCACCACCTTCTCAAGGGGCAACTAGGGACAGGCAATAAATGCTGGGCCACCCCTTCAGGCCACAAGTGAATAAAATAAAATTGGGATGGAGGATGGGAATGCTCTCTTACACGGTATTGTAGGTCAAGCCATAGCAGGTGGACTGAAGCAGTTCAAGAAGCCAGCTCACCATCCCCTTCTCAAGGGCAACAAGAGACGGGCAATAAATACTGGCCAGCCCACGTTCTACAAATAAATATTTTAAAAGAATATATACTTGCTATAGAAGGAGATTCGCCAGATTAATCCCTGGGATGGTGAGATTGTCTTATGAGGACAAACTGAAGAAACTGGGCCTATATTCTCTAGACTTTTGAAGGATGCGATGTGATATCATTAAAACATACAAAACGCTTACAGGAAATAACAGGTAGATGCAGTGAGAAGTTTCTCCTGGTTGATGAACCTAGAACCAGGAGATAGTCTCAGCATAAGACCGATATGAGGAGGAATTTCTTCACTCAGACGTTGGTAAATCATTAGAAATCTCTACCCCAGAGGGCTGTGGATGCTCAATCACTAAGTATATTCAAGATCAAAATCGATAGCTTTCTGGAATGTGTGGGAAAGTGGAGTTGAAATAGATGATCAGCCATGATCTAATTGAATTGTGCAGCAGGCTCCAAGGGCTGAATGTCCTAATCCTGCACCTATGTTCCAATGTTTTTACCCTAGTTACAGAGTTTTAAGATACTTGGCAAAAGAACCAGGGAGGTGAAAGTGTGTTACTCAGCTTTATGATCTGGAACACATTATGTGGAAGGGTTTTGGAAGCAGATTCAGTCGTAACTTTCATAAAGGTATATTCTTGCAAAGGAGAAATTTGCAAGACTATGGGGAAAACACAGGCTAGTGTAACTAATTAGATAGTTCTTTCAAAGAGCCAGCAGAATCGCAACGGATCAAAATGCGTCTTTCTGCACTGCATGAAACAATGATTCAAAGTAACACGTTTGCATTTATGTAGCGCCTCGTAAAGAAAGGTTTTTAGAAAGAAAAGGGACACCAATGAAGGGAGAGGGAGTCTGTACAGGTAAAAGTTGGCAGAGGCTCCCTGGGTCAAACACACTGGAACTTCTGTATTCAACACAATGGGAGCTTGCACCATCGGCAGCCTGCAGCCTTTCTTAGAAAGATAGTGATAAAAAACAGCAGTCTGCACACACTCCCAAACAAATCAGCCGTCACCTAACTGGCCCGTCGTTTGCATTTAGGATCATTGTCAGCAGCTAATTTTGCTGAAACTTGCACTCTCCAGTAGGAGTCAGTGGATAATGACTGGAAGCTGTACTTGCCTCTCCCAGACAGGCCCCAAAGTGTGCAAGCTGACTTGTTGCCATGTCAGTCTCAGGCCTGGTTGAGATCAGCCTTGCCCAACACAGATCGAGGTTTTGGGCCTGGGAATTCATGTCCCATCGAGTCAGGACTTCTAAATGCTGTGCATTGTTCATTTCAGAGCCCTGACATCCAAACTGCAGGTGGTGTTCCCCATCAGTTCATTAGCACCCATTAAAGATACCTACTTCCTGAAACTGACAGGTGCTGGATGAAGGAAACCAGTGAGTGCATTTCCAAAACAAAAACTTTATTCAACTGAACACAATAAATACAGAACCATCTAACTATTATAACATGAAATTTCGGATGAAGGTACGACATGATGGAACGTTCCATATGTACATACAGCAGAAGAGGAATAATTTGGGTTATTTATGCAGAGTTTCAAAAGAACGCTGGGTCATGTTTGCAATGAGCTAATATCAACGGGTTGACGAAGTCAGTTCAAATGCATATTTGTTGATAAACACAATCGTAGACAAACCCTGTTGTGTTTGTGAAGAGCAGAACATTGTTTCTACGGGAACAGGCACTGCACAGGGAACACTGCACAGAGCCTTCGTGCACTTTAGCCATGATTCACCAACAGCATCTGAAAGGAAGGGAAGAAGGCATGCATTTTATTTTTCGTTGAATGACCAATGGAATATTCTCACAATTCATCCGTGCACATAAATATGCTCATGTTGCTGAAAGCACAATAGAGGAATTTATATTTCAGGAACACTCCTGATATTCTAAATTTGCACACACTGTAGAAAAAGCAGTTCCCACCAGCATACCTACTTCCCATGAACTGAAACCTGCATCTTTAAGTAATGCCATGAATTGGATAGTTTTTTGTGAGACCAACAATGACCAGTTATCACAGGTTTTATCATAGAATCCCTTTAGTGTGGAAGCAGGCCATTTGGTCCATCCCTCTGAACAGCATCCCACCCCTCCCCCCTACCCTATCTCTAAATTTTCTATGGTTAACCCATCTGGCCTGCACATTCCTGGACACCACAGGGCAATCTAGCATGGCCAATCCACCCTAGCCTGCACATCTTTGGACTGTGGGATGAAACTGACACGGGGAGAATGTACAATCTCCACACAGACAGTCACCGAGGGTGGAATCGAACCCGGGTCCCTGGCGCTGTGAGGCAGCAGTACTAACCACTGTGCCACCTGTTAGCTTTGCAGATCAATTGGGTGGCCTGCCATACTCTCTTATCCTCTAGACATAGGTGGTAAAGCAGCACATTGTCAGACCCAAACATTCAGGTTAAACTAACACACAGATTTATTCACAAGTAAGTTAATTACACAGAATCAGTACTCTATTGCAAGAAGCTTGCAGAAACAATACTGCATTTGCGAAGAAAATAAATTGTGAAGAGTTGTGAATCTTCGCTAAACTTCTCTTTATGAGTTTCAAACTGCGTCTTTAACAAGTCACTATGTGAGAAAAAGCATTCCACAGATGCTCCATTGGTTATATCTAACAGAGAAAGCAGGTTGAAACATTTGAATAAAAATGCTCTGCTTCTGAGCAATTGTCTGGGATTACAAAAACTGGCTTCCTCTAAAAATGAAAGTTATTTCTCACGGTAGCAGGGAAGTGGTTTGGTGGCTTTGTTTCACTTTCAAAGGGGATAAACAATGTTGCAGTAAGTGCTTTAATTAGATAGAAATATGGAAATTAGTACAGTAGGCCATTCAGCCCAATGAGCCTAGTCCATCATTCAACATGATCATGGCTGATCCTCTGTCTCAACACCATACTCCTGCTCAATTCCCACATCCCTTGACACCTTTAGCCTCCAAAAATCTAGCCATTTCTTTTCTAAACATCTTCAGTGACTTTATCTGTCTCAGCTCTCTGTGATAGAAATTTCACAGAAACTTCTCATTTCAATCCACATATCCTGAGATTATGACCCCTTGTTCTGGACTCCTTGGCTAAGGGAAATATCATCTCTACATCCAGTCTATGCAGTCCTGTCAGAGTTTTGTATGTTTTAGGAGATCTCTTCTCACTCTTCTAAACTCCAATGAATCCAGGTGTGGCTAACATATCTGCCATCCTAAGAATCAGTCTGGTAAACCTTTGCTGCACTCCTTCTATGGTAAATATATTTTTTCTTCGGTAAGGAGACCAAACTGCACACAACATTTCAGGTATGGTCCCACCACGGCCCTGTAAAGCTGCAGTAGGAGTTTCTTGTTCCTGTATTCAAACCCTCTTGTAATGAAGGTCAACATTTGCCTTCCAATTATTTGCTGCACCTGCATGCTTGCTTTCAATGACTTTTGTACAAAGACATCTAGGTCCCTTTGATCATCAACATTTCCTATCTATCACCATTTAAATAATAATCCACCTTTATTTTCCTACCAAAGCGGATGTCTTCATATTACACGGCATATGACACTTATTCACCCTCTCACTCGACTTGTCTAAACTGCCCTGAAGTCTCTTCACATCCCCTTCAGCAGTCGCAGTCACATTTTTACAAGTTTTATTTTCACAAAATGTGGAAATATTACACTCAATTCCCTCATTCACATCACTGACGTACACAGTGAATAGCTCGGGCCTGAGCACTGATCTCTGCGGTTCCCCACTTGTCACTGCTTCCACTCCAAAAACAGGCCCATTTATTCCTCCTATTGGTTTCCTGTCTCACCAATTCTCAGTCCATGCCAGTATATTACCGCCAATCCCATGTGCTTCGATTTTGCACAATAACCTCTTATGTGGGACTTTATCAAAAACTTTCTCAAAAAAACAAATGAACCACATCCAATGGTTCTACTAGTTATGTCCTCAAAAAGCTCCAATTAGTTTGTCAAACATATCTTTCTTTCATAAATCCAATTGACTCTGTGTAATACTTATTTACTAAATATCCTATTATCACATCCTTTAAAATGAATTTCATAATTTTCCCTCCTATTGTTTTTAGGTTGACGGTCTGTAATGCCAAATTTTTTCCCTCCCTCCTTTTTTAAATAGTGGATTTACGTTTGCCCCTTCCAATCTACTGAGGCAATGCCAGAATCTACACAATTTTGAAAGATGACAACCAACACACCCACTATTTCCATGGCCATCTTCTTTAATACCCTGGGATGTAGGTTATCAGGGCCTGGTGACATATTAACTTTCAGTCCCATTAATTTCTCCAGCATCTTTTTATAAAAAAATACTGATTTCCTTCAATATCTCCTTCCCAAAAGACCCGTGCTTCTCTAGCACTTCTGCAAAGTTTATTGTGTTATCTTCTGTGAATACATAACTGAAGTAGTTGCTCAATTGCTCGCCATTTTCTTGTTCTCCATTATCAATTCAGATTGTATGGGCCTACTATATTTGTCCTCAGTAATTCTTTTATTTTTACATAATTACATAAGCTCTTACTGTCCCCTTTTATGTTTCTTACAAGTTTACTCTCATGCTGTATTTTTTACCCCATATTCAACTTATTAACTTCGTGGGAGGCTAGGGAAGAGACTGCTAGGCCCCTTGCTAAGACATTTGTATCATCAATGGCCATGGGTGAGGTGCAGAAAGACTGAAGGTTAGCTAATGTGGTGCCATTATTTAAGAAAGGCTGTAAGGAAAAGCCAGGGAACTACAGACCGGTGAACCTTAGGTCAGTGGTGGGTAAGTTGTTGGAGGGGATTCTGAGGGACAGGATTTACATGCATTTGGAAAGGTAAGAACTGATTAGGGATAGTCAGCATGGCTTTGTGCATGGGAAACTGTCTCACTAATTTGATTGAGTTTTTTGAAGAGGTGACAAAGAAGACTGATGAAGGCAGAGCAGTAGATGTTGTCTATATGGACTTCAGCAAAGCTTTCAACAAGGTTCCACATTGTAGACTGGTACGTAAGTTTAGATCAAATAGGATCCAGGGGAACCAACTAATTGGATACAAAATTGGCCTGAAGGTAGGAGACAGAAGATGTGGTGGAGGATTATTTTTCGGACCGGAGGTCTAAGGATCAGTGCTGGGTCCCCTGCCTTTTGTCATTTATATAAATGATTTGGATGTGAATATAGGAGGTATGGTTAGTAAATCTGCAAATAACACAGTGAAGAAAGATTATCTCAGAGTACAATGGGATCTTGATCAGATGGGCCAATGGGCTGACGAGTGGCAGATGGAATTTAATTTAAATAAATGCGAGGTGTTGATTTTGGTAAGGCAAACCAGGGCAGGACTGAAAGTTATTGGAAAGGCCCTGGGGAGCATTGCCAAACACACTAACCTAGGGGTGTAGGCGCATAGTCGCTGGTAGACAGGGTGGTGATAAAGGTGTTTGGCATGCTTGCCTTCATTGGTCAGAGCATTGGGTATAGGAGTTGGTATGTCATTTTTGGAATACTGCACACAATTCTGGTTTCCCTTCTGCAGTAAGGATGTTGTTAAACTTGAGCAAAAACAAAGTTGTTGGAAAAGCTCAGCAGGTCTGGCAGCATCTGTGAAGGAGAAAACAGAGTTAACGTTTCGGGTCCACTCTGTTTTCTCCTTCACAGATGATGCCAGACCTGCTGAGCTTTTCCAGCAACTTTGTTTTTGTTCCTGATTTACAGCATCCACAGTTCTTTTGGTTTTTGTTAAACTTGAGAGGGTGCAGAAAAGATTTACAAAGATATTATGGGACTAGAGGGTTTGAGCTTTAAGGAGAGGCTAAATAGCCTGGGGCTTTTTTCCCTGGAGTGTTGGAGACTGAAGGGTGACTTTATAGAGATTTATAAAATCATGGGGGCCATGATTTGGGTGAAAAAACAAGGGCCTTTATCCCAGGGTAGGGGAGTCCAAAACTAGAGGGCATTGGTTTAAGGTGAGAGGAGAAAGATTTAAAAAGGACCTGAGGGGAAACTTTTACACGCAGAGGGTGGTGCGTGTATGCAACTAGCTGCCAGAGGAAGTGGTGGAGATGGATAAAATTATGACATTTAAAAGGCATCTGCATGGGTGTATGAATAGGAAGGGTTTAGAAGGATGGTGGCCAAATGCTGTCAAATGGGAATAGGTCGGACTGGGATGTCTGGTCAGTGTGGATGAGTTAGGCCAAAGGGTCTGCTTGTATGCTGTATGTGGAGGTGCCAGTGTTGGACTGGGTTGAACAAGGTCAGAAGTCACATGACACCAGGTTCAAGCCCAACAGGTTGTCCAAAAGCTTCTGTTTACGAATAAATCTGTTGGACTAGGACCTGGTGTTATGTGATTTCTGTCCAATGCTCCATGACTCTAGTTGTCCTTTGCTGAATTATAAACTGCTCCCAGTTTTCAGGCTTGTTACTTTTCTCTACAAACTTTATATGACTCAATCCTTAATTTCTTCTGTTAAGCATGCATGGCCACTTTTTGTGTTGTGTTCTATGACTCAAAAAGAATGCATAACCGCTACAAAGCATGTATTTGTTCCTTAAATATTAATCATTGCCTACCCACTGTCATGTCCTTTAATGAAGTTACCCAGTCTATAGCAGCCAATTCACCCTTCATGCCTTCACAATTTCTTCTGTTTAGATTTAGGATCGTAGTTTGGCATTAGACTACTTTACTTTCCATCCCAGTGATGAATTCTAT